CCACCCAATTAGTTTTTGGTATGGTGACTTTATGTGTTTGTTCTGTCTTCTTTTCCCACACTCCATTCCATTCCCTTCTGATGCTTCTTGCTTCATTCATTATTTTTCCCATAAAGTCCTTCAGTATTGAGGCTTGAATTTTTTCAGGTCTTTTCAGCTTGAGAAATGCCCACCCTGGTCCTCTCTTCTGGTGTTCTGACTCCAGAGATTTGCATATGTGGTTATACTACTTTGTCCTCCAGAGCTGCCCTTTGAAATCTTCTGTTCATCTCTCTTACTTCAGCATTTCTTCCTTTCCTTTTGGCTTCCTCACATTATAGTGCAAGTTTCAGAGTCTCTTTTTAACTTCCATTGTGGTCTTTCTTTTTAAAATATTTTTTAATACATTATTGTGTATTTTCTTCCCTCCTCCTGCAGCCCACCCCATGGTGCACCCTTTGTTCCTGATTGTCGTTCATACAGTACCTGATCATGCATTCCTTTTGGACAGGTCTTTCCCTCTTCTGTTCTAATGCAGTCTTTATTATCCATCCACTCTTTCCCCATTCTCTCCCCAACTCTGCCCCATGCCTTTCCTATTTTATAAGTGTTATGCAGTATTTGTCCTTTTGTAACTGAGATATTTCACTTAGCATAATGCATTCCAGGCTGCCCTACGTTGGAAGCAACCCAAGTGCCCATCAACAAATAGATGGATAGAAAAGCTGTGGTACATCCACACAGTGGGATACTACACAGTGTTGAAAAACAAGGAATTCACTCTTTGCTTCTTTGTGACCGTTTCATGGATAGTGCCCTTGATGTCATCCCAAAACTCATCTTGTCTTCAGTCAAAAGTGCTCAGTAAATGAAATCTATTCTTGAAATAGTTTCTTTTTAAATTTTATTTTATACCAATTTATTTATAGAGTTCTCATATATTGTTTTTCATACCAGATCTTTACCATTTCCTTCACCCCCCCCCCCACCCATAAAATTGTACGACCCTATGATTAACCCCTGCCTTGCCCATCCTCACCGCTCTGCTTCAATCCCTGAACCTGCTTGGATCTTCATACTCATTCTACAGTAATGATTTTATACAGTATCTGTCCTTATGGGGCTACATTAGTTCACTCAGTATAATGCTCTCCAGTCCCTCCCAAGGTAGGTAGTCATAATTGCTCCTGCATGCTGCAAAGTATTCCATTGTGTGAATGTACCATAATTTCTCAATCCATTTGATTGTGGTTGGACATCTGGGTTGTTTCCATGTTCTTGCAATGGTGAATACTGCTCCTATGGACATGGGTATACAAATATCCATTTGTACCTCAGTTCTCTTTTTCTCAGGGTATATTCCAAGCAGTGGAAAGCTGGATCATAGGGAATTTCTTAACCAGTTATTATTAACGCATCCTGATTGCATGTTCGGTCAATTTCAGACTGCATAATTTGGTAAAAATTCTCAATTTCTTCCTCTTTGGCTCTACATGTAGGACCATATACTTGAAAAACAGTTGTATTAACAGGTCTTCCTTGTATGTGCATGATATTATCCTGTCATTCACAATGTAGTATTTCAGGATAGAATTTGAAATTGACTTTTTGACTATGAATGCAACATCCTTCTATTTTTTCATCCCCTGAATAGTATACCATTTGAGCATCTGGTTCAAAGTGACCATAGCTGGTCCACTGCATTTCACTAATTCCTAGTATGTTGATGATTCCATTTTATTTTTTTTTACTTTTTGAAATTTTACTGTGTGTGTGTACTATCAAATTGGATCTGACTGGTACAGGAGAAGATTGTCCCTCCTTCTCCAGCACAGCATCTCGTGGATTTGAACCACACACCTCTGGGATTGCAGTGCTGCTTCCTGCCACTAGGCCACCCACGCTCCCTTGTGTTCCATTTTATTTTTAACAATTTCCAGTTTTCCAACATTCAAGCTACAAACATACCATGTACCAATTGTTAAATGATGCTTGTTATTGATTTTCCTCAACTGACTTCAGATCTGGGCTCTACCACTACACTACTATACCTGTACTCTTTGTTTAACGTTCACAGTCTGGCTTAATCAGGGAGCTCCACTGAACCACGATGAGAAACCCTTTTGGAATTTGACACACCAGTGGCAAAGATTTTAGTATCACAGCAACCCCAACAGTACAGCAAACTGACGGTCAAGTGCTGCACCACTTAGAACGTTCTCTCCAAACACAGTATCAGGTCTTGGGTCAACCAACTTTTAAATACAAGGCCTGCCCGCCGGATCCTGTTTGCCTACACAAGAGGCTTCCCACTCAAGCTGATTGTAAATGAGGTCAGATATAGTTACCAGCTTACACGTGATTGCTAACACAATTAGAAACACCCAAACAGCTTAACGTTGGATTTCAAGTAAATCACAAACACCCACCAGGATCCATCTTTGCCAAACTAAATTTAGAAGAGGCCGTGGCACCAAATATATTATTGCTGATGTCAGATGGATCCTGGCTGAAAGTAAAGAATACCAGAAGAATGTCTTTGTGCTTTATTGACTATGCAAAGGTGTTTGACTGTGTGGATCATGACAAGTTGCGGCTGACATTGAGAAGAATGGGAATCCCAGAGCATTTGGTTTTGCTCATGAGGAACCTATACCTGGTTCAGGAGGCTGTTGTGCAGACGGAGCAGGGGAGCACTGCATGGTTTGGAATTAGGAAGGGAGTGTGTCAGGGATGTATTCTATCTCCATGTGAGAAGCTGGACTCTGTGAGGAGGAGTGTGGCATCAGGATTGGAGGGAGACTTATCAATAACCTGAATTATGCAGCTGACACAACCTTACTTGAACATGAAGAGGACTTAAAGCACTTGTTGCAGAAGATCAGGAATGCAACCTTCAGTATGTATTGCATCTCACTATCAAGAAAACAAAGATTCTTACCACTGGACCAATAAGCAGTGTCATGATGTATGGAGAGGAGATTGAAACTGTCAGCAGCTTCCTCTTGCTTGGATCCACAATTAACACCTTTGGTACGAGCAGTCAGGAAATAAGGAGACGCATTGCATTGGGACAGTCTGCAGTTAGGGACCTTTACAAATTATTCAGAAGGACTGATGCCAGTTTGAGGACTAAGGTGCATCTGATTCAGGCCATAGTTTTTCCAGTTACTAGCTATGCATCTGAGACCTGGACAATGAATAAGGATGACAGAAAAATAATTGGTGCCTTTGAGCTGTGGTGTTGGAGAAGAGCACTGAACGTTACACGAACCCCCAGGAGAATGAACAGATAGTTTTGGAGGTGGCGCGGGAGTACTTTTTTGAGGCAAGAATGATGCGGGTTCTCCTCACATACTGTGGACATATTGCTAAGAGGTGCTATACCTTGGCGAGTGGCATGATGTTGGGAAGGATGGAGGGTCAGCGAAGGAGAGGAAGACCCTCAACCAGGTGGATTGACACGGTGACTGCTGCAATGGGCTCTTGTGTGTCAGGAAGTGTGAGGATGGTGCAGGACAGGACTGGGTTCAGATCTTTTGTTCATAGGGTCGCTATGAGTCATACTGGACTCGACAGCACCTAACAGCAACAACAACATGGAATTTCTGTGTTCAGCTTTTTGAGGAAGCGCCAAACTGCCTTCAAGAGTGGACATACCATTGAAATAGTTTATTTTGCCTCTTGTAGACTTGTTTTCCATTTTTTTCGGTCGCAGTTTGAACTTGCATGGGAAGAGCTGATGTCTGTTACACATCAAGCTGATGTCCTTGCTTGACTGCTGTTACTCAGCTGTCCACCATCGTTCCTCAGATGCAGTCAGTCTCATTCCTGGTCCATGTGGATAGTCACCATTTCTTTTTTTAAAAGGCCATTTTTTAAATTACTTACTATGCATCAGAAAGCTGGACAATTGATGCCTTTGAGCTGTGGTGCTGGAGAAGAGTACTTAGTATACCATGGACTGCTAGGAGAGCAAACAGGTTCACCCTAGAGAAGGTAAAACCAGGCTGCTCCTTGGAGGCAAGGATTCTGAAGCTTCGTCTGACATACTTTGGGCTTGCTACAAGGTGGGACCAGTTCTTGGTGAGGGACATCATGGTTGGGAGGTGGAGGGACAGCATAGGAGCGGAAGAGTCTCGGGCCCATGGGCCAGACCTCAGGGACGAAGCTTCTCCAGATTCTTGTATCTGCAGAGGTTGCAAGACTGGACATTGACAGGGAGGGATAGTTTCTGGCACCAGTCCAAAGACTCAAAGAAGTGATAAGGCAGGTGCAGGATCCAGACTGAGCAGTATGCAGGTAAACTTTGTCAGACTCCCTTGTATATTTAATGCAGCCTCCCCCCTCCCCACATGTAATTATCTTTCAGCTGATTGGCTGCTTATAACATCTAATAGGGATGACTGCATCATTACTACCAATTCAGAAAACCGCAGCCAACAGGGTTGACATACAGTATAACCGTCACGGCCACTAATGTTGTATGTGAGACTTCCTCTCAGGTACTTTAGAAATATCAGGCCAGCGTCTGCAGAAGGAGCTCATACCTGGTAAAGTAGTGAGTGGGCGGCAAAAATGAAGGACATCCACAAAGGGGTGAATTGTCGCAGTGCCTGCAGCACTGAGCACAGGCCCAGCAGCAGGGCCAGGCATTGTCTGCTGTGCTGTACATGGGGCCACTGTCCTTAGGAGCTGACCTAACAGTCCCTATAACAATGACTATCAAAGGTAGATCTTCACACACACAGGTATGAAGTCTAGAGGAGGAGAGTTTGAAACTGAGCCTTCTGGTGGTATAATTTTCACACATTTTAAGTCACATTTATGATGCCATTAATTACAAATGATGGCTTGCTAAGCACAGCAGGCGTGGTGTGTTGTGGCCGTGTCCTTGTGTCCCTGAAGGACGACATTCAGCTCAGCTGTCTTGTTGCTGCTCCTGTCCTCTTTCCCAGATGACTGCTGACCAGGAAGGATGAGTGTGGGTCACCGGAGCTCCCCTTTCTCCCAGTGGACAGATGGAGGGGAGCAGCACTCACCAAGTCCCCCACCAGGCTGCTGATGACCTAGATGATGGTACTGGGACCTTGAAGGCCAAGCCTGCCTCCTCGTCCCAGGACACACACATAGTGGCCACCAGGAAGATTATGGTCTCTCCCTTGACTGTGTTGGACTTGAGTCACAGTGGCCTGTGCCACTTAGATGAGGTCTGCAGAGTGCCCCGCCTGAAGGTAAGTGGCCAGCTGCTGTGGAAGAGAATGACACTGGACCCCAGACCAGCATTCAGGCTTCTCTTTAGGAGAGAGGATGCTGGGAGCTTCTCCACACGGAGAGAAAAAGAGGTACTTAAAAAGCTGTGGGAGGAGATTCGGAGTCAGAGTCTTGCTAGGAAGAGTATGGTGTGCGCCAGGCCTGTCGGGTGCCGCCCTAGTGGCCTCACCTGGCTCTAAGCCCACTGGACACATGACAGAAGCAGTGTGTCCCCAGGCATCACTGTTGTCTTAGGGAGCTGTTTCCGGACATGTCAGGCTTTGGAATTGAGGCAGAGTGACAAGCACTCTTGGTGATTCTCACTCCCTGCAGCAACTATACCTTCAGAAGAACTCCCTTTCTGTGATTCCCAATGACTTCTTCCAGTCACTGCCCAACCTGACGTGGCTGGACCTCCGCTTCAACAGGATCCGAGCTCTGCCTTCAGGGATTGGCTCACACAGGTGAGCTTTATGCTGACATTTCCAGCCTTATGGGGTCTTGGGTAATGTTGTTCACTTAAAATACACAGAATGTCTGTTTGGTTTTTGTATTTGTTGGGGGGTTTTTGGTGCAGCTTTTCATGATAGACTTTGGTTTTTTTTCTTTTTAGTATTGGAGAGGGACATCATGGGAGGGTGGAAGGACAGAGAAAGGGACACCCTCGATGACACGGATTGATTGATTGGCAGGGGTAAAGAGGATAGGTGTGTCAGAGACAGTTAAGTTGGCACAGGATAGAGCAGGGTTCAAGGCTGTTTTACATAGGGTTGCTGTGAGCTGCAAGTGTCTAGAGAGCACATAACAAACCAATATTTTACATTGGTTTGCATACAAAACTTATATACACTGTTTCGTTTATGTACATTGTGTTTCACACATTCCTTCATTCACATTGTGTTTCATAGGGATTTATACACGTTGTATTTGATAATCCCCATTAGTCTGTGCTTCATGATTGAATGTTGACTTCAGAATAGAAGCATGTCTTTTCAGAGCTAGCCAGAGCCGCCAGCAGTGGTACATCCGGACACTTGCCCTGAGGACCCGAGCGTGTCTTGTTTCCTGGTGAATATTGTGACCTTTGTCTGATGGGGGATCTTGAAACCCCAGGGCAAGGAGTATGTGATTCCTGCCTGAGCTGTGGTTGTTCTCAGCTCCCTGTCCAGGAATGTACACCAGCCCAGGCTCCACAGTGCATCCCCCCCCGTCCTTCCTTCCTGGGTGCCCAGCCTGACCTCTGCCAGCAGCCAGGGGCCTCTTACCTTTGGGAACCTTGTGCATCTGGCATCATGGAGCTGTGGTCCCTGAGCCCATAGCCTTTGTTCCAGAAATGACTGCCCACTACTGCTCCTGATAACATTCCAGACCCCTCTCTGAAGCTCCATCTAAGATCACTGTCCTGCTGGAAGAATGGGACTGGGCTGACCACTGCTTGTTTTCAGCTGGCCCCATTCTCAGAGCCGAGGCCCGGCCTCCAGGGAGCTCAGCCGCCTTCCTCCCATTCTCAGAGCTGAGGCCTGGCCTCCAGGGAGGTCAGCCGCCTTCCTTACTCCTGGAGTTATGCAGAAGCTTGGGAGACTGAGCCTTGCCTTGTGACGGAGTCAGCCAACGAGTCGAGCATCTAAGAGTGTGAGAACACCGAGTGGGGATTCTCTAAGAGGATTCCATCCTGTCCCCACTCCTCCACCATGTCCCAGTGCACACAGGGTGCTGACTTCATGGGGTGATTGCTCTAGGGCCTCAGGAACCTGGCCCACATTCTCCAGAACAAGAACAGCTTTCATAGCTTTGTAAAAGCCTGGTTGGCTCAGCCAATGCTGTTGACTCCCGTGATGTGTTGGCACTGAGCCCAGGCAAATATAAGTGAAGGTCTTGCCTTCAGGAAGATGCATTCAGTGGGAGACAGAGACAGACAGGGCAGTGTTGGCTACCAAGAACAGTGTCAATTTGACCACCTTAGATATGTAGGTCAGGAAAGGTCTGACAACCCAGAGACCGAGCCTGAGGTGGAAGGAGGACCTTCATGGTGAGTCATTGGAGGAGTGTCATTCCAGGTGGGCTCTATGGTGGGCATAGGCTGGGCAAGAGTGCGGCCAGTGTGACTTACCCACAGGTAGGTGAAGGCAATGGCAAGAGTGACCCCACAGGAGAGCAGGCGGAGCTCATGGGCCTGGGCTCAAACTTTGGATCTTTTGAACAAGATGGGAAGTCGCAAGGTTTTGTGTGGAATGTGATGGCATTACTGTAAGGACCCTGTAGGGGCAGTGTTGAGACCACCAAGGAGACCACTGTGGTGGGTGGATGAGAGGAGAGGGCTCAAGCTGATAGTAGAATGTGGGGTCAGAGAGGTATCCACGGGGGCTCCTCCGTTTAGTAGTACATCTCTGTCCTTTGAGAGTCAAAGTGGCTATTCCAAAGCATCAAGGCATCTCTTGGGAACACAGTGCAAGTCACCTGCCTTGGGCTTTGTGACAGCCGAGAAGACAGTGCTCGTGGGCTCTAGCCAGGTACCAGCTGGTGGTGGGGTAGGAAGCTGGGCAGCACTGACCTAGAACCTCCATGCCCCTTAGAGCTGCACCCTAGGCCTTGTGAGTTCTGAGCTTGATGTCCCAGGCAGAGTAAGAAGGCTCACTTCTTCTCAAGGTCTGTGTTTAGGACAATGATGTATTTTTTGTCCATAAGTTGTGTTAGATTTAACATCCAGTTCTGGGGAGTAATTACTGCTCAGAGGGTAAAAATAAACCACAGTCCTGTAAGTATTCCACCTTTTTCTAAATAAGCACAGTTATCAAATATGGGAATTCTTTGACTTTGCCATTCAAAGCCAGATGCTTAATGAGGTTTAGGATAAAATTTTGCATGTGATTTATAACCCATTATATCATTAAATTGGATCAGCTTGCTAAAGAGCTAGAACATGTCAGTTAAGAATTTTAAGTAATTATGGGCCTTAATCTTAAAAAAGCAGAATTAGAACAATGACAGTTAATATTCTTCCCTTTCTCAGTGTCTAGGATGTGCATATTTGCCAGCAGAAAGATTTTTAAAAATGTTTATCAGTTCATAGACAAGCAAATCAAATTTTTATGTAAAAGTTTATATGTCCCATTGAAAATCAGTGAAATGAAAATTACAGTTTTTATAAGGAGTTAGCATAAATGTAAAGTTGCAGTGTGCCCAGAAATCTGTTACTGTATGGGAAGGTGAAAAAAATCTCCTATGTAATTTCATGTCAATAATTGATAAACATTTCTTCCTTCCTCCATCCTTCTCTTTGATATATTTTGTGCTAGATTTTAGAAGAAATTAAAAGCAGCAAAATATATAGCCTTTGTCTTCAATAATTTTACAATCTTAATTGAGATGTGAATTCTCTCTCTCTCTCTCTCTCTCACACACACACACACACACACACTCCTTCTCCCTCCCTCCCTCCCTCCTTCCCTCCCTCTCCCTCCCCCTCCCTCCCTCCCTCCCTCCCTCTCTCTCTCTCTCTCTCTCTCTCTCTCAATGCCTGGGTCGCCCTATAGAGGACCTAACCCTAAGAGAAGAATGAGAAACCAGAGAATCCCTATAAACAAATGCAGAAAAAACATACCAGAGTTTCTGATAGACATGCTGAAGAACATTTGTTCCTGGTTGATAGATGTAACACGGGCTCTGTGGTCACATACCCTCAGGAAACACGGCCTCAGAATCCTTTACCTGGACTGTCCAGGTGGGGTGAAATATACTCGTGGTAGACGTCTCCCAGACATTTTTAACCATCAAGAACCTTGACAGAGTATCTTTAGAAACTGGGATTCCTTCAAAACATGCCAGGAACCCCAAGTGGCTGGTTAGGAGACACTACACCAGACGGGGGTTTCTTAGCAGGGCCTGTTTTACCTCCAGGACACTATGGCAGTGTCTGAAGATACATGGCTGGCACACCTGGAAAAATGTTGCTGGTGTTTAGTGAGTGGAAGTAGGTGCTGCTGAGTACCTTAAAATTCCCGGGGTGAACTCCCCACAGCTTTTATTATCTGGGCCCAAAAGGTCATTGAGGCTGAGATGGAAGAATTGTTTCTTAGATCATCCAAATTAAAGCCATGCTTTGCTAGTGGCATTCGACATTGTGTGTGTGTCTCTATATCTAGAAATGTATATGTATGTATAGGTGTACTAATATAAATATGTATGGCTCTGGTAAATCTTCCCCTTTAAAGAGAATAAAAAGGAAAACAATTTACAGTATACTTAAGAGTGATCATTTAATTATCTGCTTTCAAAATTATGGTTTTGTTTTATTTTAAAGGCATTTGAAAACTTTGCTTCTAGAAAGAAATCCTATTAAAATGTTACCTATAGAATTGGGTGAGTATACAACAATAAAATAAAGGATGATTTTTAAATGCTGAGATAAGTAACTAGAACCTGAGCTGGAAATATAAGGTATAACACAGAAATGTGGGCTGATATTTAAAATCAAGAGCTATTACTATTTTAAACATGAGTTGGAATCCACTGAATGACAATAGGTTTAAGGAAGAATGTCAGTTAAGAGCCTTGTACCCAAAACACATTTAAGGAAGATTAACATTGCCCATGTCCTTGCAGGCCTTGGATGAATAGTAAAACTGGTCCAAATCCCAGTTGGTCATGATGTAAAATTTGTTTTTGCCTATTTCTGGATTTAGTTGCTAATTTGTCTTTTTCAGTTTACATCCTTGCTATTGATCTGGTTTTCAAGTTTGCTAATTAGTCTTCTGCAGATTTCAGATACAGTGTTGATAGTGGTGCTGTGAGCTGTCGTCAGCTTGACAGGACCAGCCACCACCAATCCCAGTCCTCTGTTAGATGCCTCTGGTGACTTTTTATTTCAGCTTCTATACCTTCCAACTAGCATTTCCTTTTGTTCTTTTTCTATAATTGCTATTCTTTACTGATATTCTTTGGTTGGCATGACATTATCATCATCCTTTGCTTTTTTAATCATGGTTTCATTTTGTTCTGTGAGCATATTTATAAGGGTGGTCTTGGAATATTTCCTTCAAATGAATCTGACATTTGGTCTCTCTCATGGTCAGTTCCCATTGCAGGATAGCCAGACTATTCTTTTCTATTTCTGTACTGCCCTGTAATTTTTTTTCTTGGACATTTTAGATAATATGAAAACTTTGGCCACAAATCTCACCTTTCTCCCTGGGGCTTATTCTTTGCTTATTTGTTTTTAGTGTCTGAATTGTTTTAGGGATGCCTTACACACACACACGCACACACGCACGTGCGCACGCACCCGAAGCCTCTGGCTCCTCTGTGAGAAGCCTCTGGTATGCCCACAGTCAGCAGGATGGCAGTGGCCCCCTGACCACACCCTGCAGTCAAACACCACTGTTTGTCAGCTGATTGTTTAGTTGTTTTCAGCTGTGTCCAGGAACATATTTTGCTCTACAAAATAATCCAATAAAATTGTGACCCTTTGATGAGATAGTTTAAGTTCCCAGCTTGGTATTTGTTCTGATCCCAGGAGGACTCTTTCCAGAGTAATTTACTGCCTCATGCTTCTACAAACTGGCCTACAGTCTACACTATCCTGCACGTTGCCAATTTGGCTCCAACCTAGCAGCCCTGTAGGACAAAGAACCGCCCATAGGGTTTCTGAGGCTGTAAACCTTCATGGGGAGAGTCTTTTTGATCTTTCTCCTGAAGTTTGGCTGGTGAGTTTGAACCACCAACCTTTCCTTTTAGTTAGCTGATGAATTCTTTAACCAGTCACTAGACTTTTCTTCTAAGCTATGTTGTTACTAAATCCACACGTCTCCCAGTTGCTTTTCACCATAATCCTCTCACTGTTCTTGAGAATACCCTGTAACCTAGCTCTCCAGGGTTTTCATTATTTCTTGTGTCAGCTGTACCTGCATGGCTCTCTGCTGTTCTGTTCGGTGGAGTGATTCATTGCAGTGGTCACACATAGATCACAATCATAGTCACAGTCTGGAGGTCTCTTAGGAAAATAAGAAGTTGCCGCTTTGGGTCAGGATCTCTTTATCAGCTGGGACCGTTTCCAACCAGGACGGTTCCTCAGCTGTGCCTGTGGACAGTGCCTTTTGTCTGGGTCCCAGGGTCCTATTCTGGCAGGTGTTATAACTCCTTTAGGTGCCCCAGCAAGTGCCTGCAGGTGTCCACTCCTCCAGCACTCCTGCCCGAGGGCATTAAGCTCTCTTCCTGGGTGGGCTGGCAGGCTCACAGCAGCTGCTCTCTCTGTGTGTGGCATCCCCACCACAGCCATTGCCAGGCTCGTAACTGCTGCTGCCTGTGTCTTCTACTGGGCTTTGCAGTGCTTGCTGCCATGTCCTGCCATCCTGATCCGTCTTCAGTGTAGGGACCCCAAGTCCAGAGGATGTGTTCTGCTCCAGATTCTTCCTGATGTTCTGCTTGAGCCTCCATGGAATTGACCCTTAGATAAGCCCAGCAGGAAGGCAAACAAATCAGGCTGCTAGCTGGACGCCATCGTTCCTGTGGGCTGGGTTTTCAGGCCATGATGTGCATAGTGTTTTAGTTAAGTAATGTGGCTGTGACAGAGATAGCACAAGTAGATGGCTTAACAAACATACTTATTCTCCTGTGGTTTGGGAGGCTAGAAGTCCAAGTTCAGGAGAAAGGCTTAGGAGGAAGCCTACTTTTGCTTGTGGAGGGAAGTCCCCGTTTCCTTCAGCATCTTGTAGGTCCAGTATCCCCTGTGCCCTGACCTTCCCTGGTGTCAAGGAGCTGTGTCACACAGGGACCCAGGTCCAAAGAGATGCACGACACTCCTGCTGACTCCTTCATGGTGGTCCTAATGGCAGCCCCATCTCAATTGCTTTCTTCTGATTTTATCTCTGGCAAGCGCAAAGGTACTCTGGACCACACCCTAGGGGAGTTCCCCTTACATCCAGTTAGAAGTATGTTGGAATTAGGGAGTGCTGGTCCTCCTGCAGTGCTTTGGTTTATGAGATCATAAGGCATCATTACATAGTTTCCAGTTACATCCTTGCATACATGCATAATGGATACATTTGATAGTTCAATCCATGATATACAATAAAGGCAAAGGGCCATAAAATAGGCCAACCATGGGGCAACTGCAGTCCAACCAGTCATTTTTAGGCAGATTTGTAATACAAGCCCAGAAAACTCATTATTGTTGAATCGGACTCTCCGGAGGGTTTCCAGAGGCCACGGATCCCTCTTTATCTGAGGAGCTGTGAGTAGATCGGACACACCAGAGAGGGGCCATCTTTGGCTCCCTCCAGACTGCACCATCAGAGCTCCCTCAAAGCCAGAGAAGACTTTATAAAGAGGAGGCCCGTCACACTGCAGACACGTAGGCTGGAGTCTCTCATGCTCTGCTGCAGGTGCAGTCGTTCTCTTGGGAAGAGCTGTGGAGCCAGCTAAACCTCCTGATGCCCAAGGCCCCAGTGTTGTCAGGGGCCAGCCTCGCAGGCTGTCAGAAGCTTCAAGCAGGTGGTTACGGGGGGCCAGTGCTGGGAAAGGTGAATATAAATCGAGGAAGACTCTCAATGAGATGGATTAACAGATACATTGAAAGTAAACAATGGGCTTCAGTGTATCAGAGATGATGAGGACGGCACAGGACAGGGCAAGGTTCCGACTGTTGTTTGTGGGGTCACTGAGTCCTAGCTGACTTGATTGCACCCAATAACAATGACAAGAACAAGGGAGTTTCAAACTGAGTACCAGTATTATATAAGTGAGATGTTGTCTGTAGACTTTTGTAAATGCTTTAAAAAAGTTAGATTAAGGAAATCTTGCACATTTGTTGAGAATTATCATGAATGACTGCTGGGTTCTATCAAATTCTTTTATTGTTTTTATTAAAATACTTCCCCCTTTTTGTTTGTATTGTAATGATTTTATTTAATTGATTTCTTAATGTTAAAATCATCATTTATTCCTAGAATAAGCCTCATTTTGTCATGGTGTATGATTGTTTTTATATGTTGCTGTGTTCAGTTTATCAGTATTTTGTTAAGGACTCTGGCACTTACTTTCATGAAGAAATTGATCTGTAGGATTTTTTTTAAAGTAGTTCCCCCCCTTTGATATCCAAGTAATACTAGCCTCATAGAATAAGTTGGGAAGAGTTCTCTTCACTGAATTTTTAGTTTGTGTATAATTTATATATTCTTTACTTTATTAAATATTTGATAGAGTTTAACAGGGGAGCTTCCTGAACTTGAAATTTTTATGAGAGGGATTTTGAATTACTGATTCATTTTATATTCTAAATTGCTATGTTGTTGTTGTTGTTATGTGCCATTAAGTCGTTTGTGACTCATAGCGACCCTATGTACAACAGCCCTAAACCTTGCTCTATCCTGTGCCAATCGTACTGCCTCTGACACACCCATCCCGATTACCCCAGTCACCGAATCGATCCATCTCATAGAGGGTCTTCCCCTCTTGCATCGTTCCTCCACCCTCCCAAGCATGATGTCCCTCTCCAAGGACCTGTCCCTCCTTGCAACATGCCCAAAGTATGTCAGACGAAGCCCCAGAATCCTTGCCTCCAAGGAGTTGCTTGGTTTAACCCTCTCCAGGATGAATCTGTTTGTTTTCTTAGCAGTCCATGGTACATTCAATACTCTCCTCCAGCACCACAGCTCAAAGGCATCAATTCTCCTTCTGTCCTCCCTAGTCATTGTCCAACTCTCTGATGCATAACAAGTGATTGCAAAGACCATGGCCTGTATCAGGCGCACCTTAATCTCCAGAGAAACACCGTTGCTCTTGAGTACTTTAGAGAGGTCCCTAACAGCAGACTTCTCCATCACAATACATTTTTTTATTTCCTGACTGCTGGTGCCAAGAGTGTTGACCGTGGAGCTGAGCAAAATGAAGCTGTGAACAATCTCAATCTCTTCGCCATCCATCCTGATGCTACCAATTGGTCCAGTGGTGAGAATCTTTGTCTTGACATTGAGCCTCAGTCCATACTGAAGGCTGCAGTCCTTGACCCTTTGCAGCAAGTGCATGAGGTCCTTCTCAGTTTCAGTAAGCAGGGTTGTGTCATCTGCATAACGCAGATTCTTAATAGATCTTCCACCAATCCATCAATTGCTATAGAGTCAGATAATATATTTCCACTTTTTTAAAAATTTTTTTATTATTTATGTGTATACCGTCAAACCGGATCTGACTGGTACAGGAGGAGATTGTTCCTCCTTCTCCAGCAGAGCATCTGGTGATTCAAACCACATGCCTCTGGGATTGCAGTGCAGCTTCTTGCCACTAGGCCACCAGAGCTCCCTATATTTCCACTTTTTAAGCCTTGGCACATCATACTTCAGCTGTCTTCTAAGCTTTTTAAGGATGGTACTGCTTGATAGAGGACTCTCTGTTGACAGGATGGTTTCAGGTTTTCATTCCCCCCTCCACACACACACACAGCACTTTGACAGAGTTGCCATTCCATTGTCTTCTGACTATCATTGTTCTAGATGGAAAGTCAGTCTTAAATTGTATTGTTTCTTTCTACATCACAAATTAATAGCTTTTGTTTGCTACTTTTTATTCTCTATTTTTTCCCTTTCTTTCAGTGGCTTGACTATGATGTATCTAAATGTGAGTTTAAGTATCCTACTTGGGCCTTGTTGAACTTCTTACATGTGTAGGTTAATATTTATCATCAAATTTAGAACACTTTTGTAATTTTTTTCTGTTCCATTTTCTCCTTTAAGACTCTCAGTACATATAGATTGGCATATTCTTGGTTATTTCACAGAGCTCTGGAGTTCTTTTCCTCTGCTCTCCAGGTTGCGTGATTTTCTGTTGTTGATTGATTCTCCTGCCATATCATATCTAATACTATACTAAACTATACTATACTATTATACTACTGAGGCCACCATCAAGAGGATTTTCTCTTTTTTTTATGTTTGTACTGTCAAATTGGATCTGACTGGTACAGGAGGTGATTGTTCCTACTCCTTCAGCAGAGCATCTGGTGGATTTGAACCGCGCACCTCTGGGATGAGGATTTTCTCTTTGTCATTATCATTTTTGGCTTTAGAATTGCTGTTTAGGTTTTTAAAAATAATAGTTTCCTTTTTTACTAGCATTCCATATTTGTTCAATTCTTTTTATAATATTTGCTTCAGTTATTTAAAAAACTTTTTCTTCAATCCCATCCCTCAGGGTTTTGACTAGTAAATCCAACCCTGGGCCCACTCAGAAATGCCTGCTGATTGGGGTTTCTTTCTTCTAGAGGAAGGATTTGGAACTAGTTTGAAACAGTTCAGTCATGGCTAATGGAATTAAGGGCAGGTTACAGGGTACACAGCATCCAAATCTGTTGCAGATCAGATTTTGACCTGAGTGGGAAAGAGCAGCAACGCCCTGCTCACGGAGGCGGCCGACCCTGCTGCTTTGAATGTATTTGTGGCAGAGTCGGCCCCCACCTTTGAGTGTGGCACCACTGCCTGCTTCCTCCTTGGGTCCAAATCTGTTATAGGAGGGAGTTGAGTGTTACAGAATACATGCACCACCCTTATTTCCGTCAACCATGACCAAACCAATTAGGGCCTGTTTGAATAGAAATGACATTTTAATTTTTTTTTTTTTTGTTTTTTTTATTTTGGGTGGAAAACTAGGCATTTGGATAACATAACTTTGTGTTCTAAATGTATATGTAATGGCTGCTGCTGCTTTTATTTGTTTACTTGCTTTATTTTAAAAATGTGATGTTTCATAACTAGCCTGGCCTTTATTTTCAGACTCTATCTGCTTTGTGGAATTTTCAAAAGCATGTTTCAGGCATCTGTTGTATTATTTCCCCAAAAAAATACTCAGTAAGCATTCTGAAATTTGCCAGCTGTGATCACCTCTGTACTGTTTTCATGCCACATGCGAGTGAGGAAAGTGCTGATGGGTTTTGTTTTCCACCCTTGCAGGGAATGTAAACACACTGAAAGCATTGAACTTACGGCACTGCCCTCTGGAATTCCCCCCTCAGCTTATCGTGCAGAAGGGACTGGTAGCCATTCTAACCTTCCTGCGGATCTGTGCAGCAGAGAATGCCTTTCCCAGCAATTTTACCTCTAAAGGTTTGTAGGACGATTATTAATGAAAAATTACATTGAAACTGAAGTGACTCTGTGTAAAATCAGAGCTCCAGAGAATCTGTCACTTCCTAATGTCACAAAAAGTAAGAGAGTCGTCACTTTGTTCATACACTAATCTCCGTGCCTCCTACCCTGCTGTCTGTCCCCCTGTCCACAGTTCTATGATCTGCATATCCTCAGCATCCCTATAGAGGCTATTACAGGGTTTTGGTAAAAAGTTCATTGGGATTAAGTGGAGAAAATGTTCAAAAGCATAATCAAATGCTTGTCTTAAGAACTTCTTGGAGACAAAGAAGCAGTAGTCTGAACAGAACAAGGGAACACTGCATATTTTAAAAATCAGGAAAGGTGTGCATCAAGGCTGTAATCTTTCTCCATATCTATTCAATCTGCTGAGCAAATCATTCAAGAAGCTGGAGTATATATAAAGGAGAATTGGACGTCAGAATTGGAGAAGATTGATCAACAACCCATGTTATACAGATGACACAACCTCACAGGTGACAGAAAGTGAAGAAGACTAGAAGCAGTTGCTACAGGTGATCAAGGACTACTGCCTTCAATATAGATTCCTTCTCAATATCAAGGGGAAGAAACCTCACCACTGGACCAATAGACCACCTCATGGGAGATGAAGAAAGATTGAAGTTTTCAGAGATTGATTTTACTTGGATCCACAATCAACAACCTTAATGAATAGGGAAGACTGAAGAAGAATCAGTGATTTCAAACTGTGGTATCAGAGTACAGAATATCCCACAGGCTGCCAAGAGGACAAACAAATCTGTCTCAAAATAAGTGCAATCACGGTGCTCCTTAGTGGCTAGGATGGCGAAGCTTTGTCTCATACTTTGAGCTTGTTGTTAGGAAGGGATGAGTAAGATAAGGTAAAAATGGATCATAATTCTCATCCAAAAAAGGTGAATGTTCTTAAATACTTCAAATATCTACATCTCCACTAGTTAAGACATAGTGGAAAGATTCATACATTTGAGACGATTAACCCAAACAATCAAATGTAGATTGTAAACAGTTGGGATGTGATTGGGAACTTTTGACCCAGATGGCCCATGTCTAGAATTTAGATTATGAGAGTGGACCCTTGCATTTTGTGTTTGTGTTTAGAATTCTTACTGGTGGTCTTGTTAGTGGGATTTAAACCTCCACCTGTTGATCACTCCAACATCCCCCCACCCCACCCCATCAGGACACTGTCTATTCATCAGAGGGAAAATGCTCCAAGTTTCTCCTGCTTCTTGCTCTCTGGACTTTGAGTCCACCAGCTGAGCTCCAGCAGTGACGTGCCGTAGCTTCCCCTCAGGACCTGAACCACAGAGTGCTTCTCAGGTGATGGAGTGGTGTGTTTCTTTTTAGCAAAAGGCAGGTTCCTGGAACTGAACCATGTCTCCCCCACCTCCAGATGTTGGAATCCTATTTGGCATGTGAATGAGACCAGATTTAAGTGTGTTTTTAACTTTATCCCTTTTGAGATCTAAAAAGAGCACGTTTGACATGAACCAGCAAGAGCACAGTTGTGTCTGGGGCTGGGAATTGGGGGGGGGGTAGTGGAGTAGACGCCATGTGAGACTGAGCATGAAGAACACAACTGGGGAAGCTGAGACATGCACTCTCCCCTGAGCCTGTGCTCTGAGGCCGACTCTCCCCTCCCCCTCTGTAAGAATTTGAGGTCCCATTGGTGAAAAGCCACTCCCTTGTGGTATTTTGTTAAATCAGCACCAGCAGAGACAGACACAGTGTTGTTGGGTACAGTCGAGTCAAGTCAACTGTGACTCACCCTGACCCTGTGAACAGCAGATCCTTGGCCTGTCCTGAGCCATGTTTCCCATTCCTGATATGCTCCAGCCACTGTGTCAGTCCATATCGTTGAAGGTCTTCCTTTCCTTCTCCACCTTGTCCTTTTGATGTCCTTTTCCAAGGACTGGCCCCTCCTGTCAACATGCCCAAAGTATAGGAGACAGCGTTTCCCCCTCCTCACCCCGAAGGGGCACTGTGGTTACGCTGCCTTCAGGATAGTCTTGTTTGTTCTTTTGTCATCGATGGGTGTTCTGTCCTCGCCAGGACCACAGTTCAGAGGCTTCGGTTCCTTGGTCTTCTTCATTGCTGCACCTTGGTCTTTAAGTAGACACAGTAGAACAGAGGAAACATTAGTCATTAGTGTGTAAGCTATTTTTTGATTGGTTTGGTGAAACCACAGGCTTTGGTTTTTTGTTGTTTGTTCCCATTAAGTGAAGCCTTCTCCAGGACTTGCTCTGCTCTTAGAAGTGTAGGAGGGCCTGGAAGACGACAAGCTCTGAGGGGGAGCACGGGAGAAACTCTCCTGACACCCTTCCTGAGTCAGGGACGTAAGAAGACACCCCCTGCATTTCTTTACCATTAAGGAAATGCGTGATTTCGAAGAAGAGGTCATCCAGTGGGTGCCCTGCACTACCTGGAACCAGGGGCAGTGGTGCTTCCTCAGTGGGGAGGGAGCAACCATTGCCATTGTAGTGTTGTGGTCTGAGGGCCGCACTGCAAGTAAGTGGCACCTGGAAGTCCCCAGTGGTCAGCCAGTGAGAAGTCCATCAGCCTTGGTCCTCATCCTGTGACACAGGCTTCCAGACATACATCTTTGAGTGTGGGTTTTGCTCCTGCCAATGTCAGGACGCCAGGAACATTCAGAGATGAGGTAGGCACACCATGCAGTCACAGGGCACAGGGCGCCAAGACCAGGATAGGAAGGAAACCCATCAGACTGACCTTGTCCAGGGCTGCCTGCTGGCCCACCCCACTCTCCCTGGTTCAGTGCATGGTTCTGACAAGACCCCTTCAACTCCGTGACCCCCGTCAGGATTCCTGTGAGTGCCTCTACTCTCCAGCCCACAGGAGTGATGCTGGCTGGTCAGTCAGCAGCATACCTGATGGTGAGGCCAGGTAAATCGTGTCCACTTACTGACTCACTGATGTAAAAGCCAGAAGGACACTCTCAGCAGGACACCATACTATTCAAGATGCCCCAGACTGTCCAGGGTCCTTCATACTGTCTTGGCCTGCCCCATACTATTTATAGGTCCCCATTCTGTCCAGGGCTGCTCTGTACTGTCCAGGGCTGCCCTATATTGTCAAGGGATACAAGTTAGAAAGGGGACATGAGGGCTTGTCCTGAAGGCAGGACTGTGTAGGACAAGCCAGCTCACACAGCCCCACTGTCTCTGCCCAGATGCCGCTGGCAGGGGGTGGGACTTCCTGCATAGGTAGCAGTAGTTCACCTCTCACAGCTGTTCCTCCTCTGTGTCTGTCTGTCTTGTATCCTAGTCTCTGCTCACTGGAGTGGAAGCTGCCGTGGGCAGTGCTGCAGACCCACCACCTGCGGTAGCTGGCACAGATAGGGCAATGTTTGGCCAGTTTCCTCTTGAGTAACTCTCCCAGAGCTGCCATATTTATGCCTGCAGAAGCACTGGCCAGTGGGCAGGACAGACACTGAGGCTAACAGGAACTAAAAATGGAAGCAATCAGAGGCAGTCGTGTGGGATATGGCAGGCCATTCTGCTCACAAACGCAGACCGTTCTCTGAAATGACAGGAGTCCTCTGAGAGGGTCACGCACTGTCCATCCACATGACTTACACATCCCTGCTGATGCGCTTTGTGGCTGAGTGGGGTCGACTGGCCTCAGGCCACTCTTTGGGGTGGGGTGCTGGCAGCCCCATCCCAGGTCCCTGACCTCATCTGCACATGGGGTACAGAGTGATGCTGGATTTAATTGCTCCTCAGAGGTCAGTGTCGGGGTATAAAGTGCTAAAGGCCATTTTCCTCTCCTAGAGCTCTCAGAGGTCGCAGTGACCCGCAGGCCCGAGCCTCCCGGCTTCCCCAGGGAACGCACACATGAGGAAGACGCTGCTTCCTGGGAGCCTGTGGAGACGTGCAAGGAGAAGGCCCCCTTCTTCCCACCTGTGGAGAAGCTGGACCTGGGGGACCTCAGGAAGCCCAACAACGCTCCGGAAGACTGGCCGAGCGAGGAGGAAATCCGGCGCTTCTGGAAGCTGAGGCAGGAGATCGTGGAGAACGAGAATGCCAATGTCCTGCCCAACCAGCTCCTGCCTGTCAAGTTGCCACCCAACCTCCAGGCTGCACTCAAGCCCCAGATGAAAGACCACCCGAAGTCCAGGTACCCCGCCAGGTAAAACGGGTCTTTGCAGTGTTGCTTTTCCTCAGAATTGTCAAACACTGGGCAGGTGTCCACACAGTGTCACCATTCTCTTATGGGGCAGATGCCTGGAGGGACTTGGACCCAGGCCCAGCGTGCCCAGGAAAGTGTATGTGTGCACGTGGAAAGCATTTGAGAGCACGCACAGTGCTGGGCACAGTGAGTGGTGGACACTGTCCCTTGTGGGCATGGTGGAAGGTAGTGGATACTGTTGCTTGTGGACATGGTGGTGAGTGGTGGACACTGTCCCTTGTGGACATGGTGGTGAGTGGTGGACATTGTCACTTGTAGACATGTGGCAGGTAGTGGACACTGTCCCTTGTGGACATGGTGGCAGGTAGTAGACACTGTCGCTTATGGACATGGTGGTGAGTGGTGGGCACTGTCCCTTGTGGACATGGTGGCAGGTAGTAGACACTGTCACTTGTGGACGTGTGGTAGGTAGTAGACACTCACTTGTAGACATGGTGGCAGGTGGTGGACACGGTCCCTTGTGGCGGACATTGTGGCAGGTGGTGGACATGGTCTCTCGTGATGGACATGGCTGTGGGTGGTGGATGTAATCGTGGCTGTCGACACAGTGGTTGAGGCCCTGTCTCCTTCCAGGAGTGGGGCACCCTCCTCCTCCAGGGCCACCTTACCTGACCTCTCCTCATCCAAGACTACAGTTCAAGCAAAAAGAGTAGAAGAAAGGCGCATAGCAGCCCTCAGAGAGCTCAGGGAGAAGCAGATGCTGTTGGACCAGCGGAGAAGGTAAGGGGGACAAGGGCAGCGGGGCCAGAAGGAGGCACGGACCTCTCCCCTCCAGAACCCCACCAGCCCTGAATCTCAGCAGAGGCCTTTGTTGTGCATGCACCTGCCCCTCAGAGGGTCCAGGAGGACAGCCCCCATCTTGTCCCCACCTGAGTTCTCGACGTTGTCCTTTGTCGTGGATGCCCTGCTCTTCCTCAGTCCCTCCTCCCCTTCCTGACCCCTTGTCACCTGCCAGGTGCATCACTGTCCCAGGCTTTTGGTTCATACTGTCTCCACTCTGCCCCAGACCCCAGGAGACTGACCAGCTCAGACCACATCCACAGTGCCTTGGTACCTGCAGCTCCTGATGGGCTTTGACCAGTGGGGGCCCCTGACTTGAGATCCAAGTAGAGAGAGACAGAGCAGGACCAGGCCCTGGACCTCTCCCGGGAAGGTCACTTGGGGCTGGTCAAGTCCCTCTCCTTCAGGCTCTGCCCAGCTCTGTCCTACTCTAATCCATGCCCATGTCTCCCCAAATCCCAGGCCAGCTTTCTCTGCCCAGGACCCGACTACCCCCTATAAATAGCCCCTTTGTTAATAAACCCACCTCCAGCTGCCACCGCTTTGTCTCTGGACCCCAACTGGGGACGGCACCGGTCATAGGTCAGCTCTGTGGTGTTGGATTCCATGGGGCACAGCACAGGTAACAGGTCAGCTCTGTGGTTGTAGACCCCATGGGGGATGGCACCAGTCACAGGTCAGCTCTGTGGTTGTAGACCCCATGGGGGATGGCACCAGTCACAGGTCAGCTCTGTGGTCATGGCTATGGCCTTCTGTTGGCAGACACAGCACGGGAGGGTGGCAGTCAGGACACAGGAGGACAGCAGCGTGCAGGTGGAGAGCCAGCAGTGCAGGCACCAGAGCAGGTGGGAGGCCAGGATACTGCTTGGACTTCTGGGGGAGGGGACAGGGAGGGACAAGTGGCTGAGAGAGACAAGGGTGGAGAGGGAGTTCTTGACCTAGCACTGACGGCTGGGGAAGGACCTTGGGTGTGGACAGGCAAGACTTCCAGTGTCAGAACAGGACTGCTTTCCACTATTCACCCAGAGGCCCCTGTGAGGCTGTCACTTAAACAGGTGACCTTGTCCCCGGTGGCCCCGGAAGTGAGGTCTGCATAAAGTATGGTGGTGACCCAGATGACGGACAGTTAGCCGCCTGGGGTAGCTGCCCTGGAGCTCTGAGGCCCAGCTGTATAGTCGCAGCCTCGGCTCACTCTCCCTGGAGGTCCCCTGGCCAGAGTGGGACCTGCCTGCTGAGGCTCCGGGTTCAGCCTGCTGTTTGAGTCTGGTCTCGTTAGGTGCCAGGAAGTCGAGCAGGGGATAAAGATGCCAAATTCAGAACCCCCATGCTCCCCGGCCTGTGTGGTCCCCCAGCACTGCCGCTCCCTGGACACTGCCGCTCCCTGGACACTGCCGCTCCCTGGACACTGCCGCTCCCTGGACACTGCCGCTCCCTGGACACTGCCGCTCCCTGGACACTGCCGCTCCCTGGACACTGCCGCTCCCTGGACACTGCCTGGGGGCTATAGGTCGGGCTGCCACTGAAGCCTTAATGACACAGTAGAGCTGCCAGGACTTCGCTCCCAGCCACTCGGACTGATGGCACCTCTGGTGTGTTTTCTCCAGAGATAAACTGATCCTTCAGGAATGGAGGGAGCAGACCTGGAGGATGAAGATGAGGATGAAGAAGGAGGAGCTGAGGCGCCTGCAACCTCTGAGGAGGAGTCTGGTAGGATGGCGTGGGGGCTGAGAGGGCTTGGTGGTGACGGGTATGGTGGACTTACTGACCTGTGTAAATTGTGACAACACTGCAGGGGGTGTTGGTGCCAGGGTGTAAGGGGGGAACAGGAGCTGTGATGTGGAGTGGGGTGTTGGGTTTGGGGTGTAGAGGACTCGGGAGCTGTGATGTGGGAGGTGTCCTTGGTTCTGGAGTACAGAGGAGGACCCGTCTGGGGTGTAGAGGACTTGGGAGCTGTGGTAGGTTCTGAGGTGCCAAGGTTTCAGGATCCTGATATGGGAGGTGTCGTCGGTTCTGTGGTGCAGAGGATTCAGGAGCTGGCAGTAGCAGGGGATGCGGTTGTTAAATGTTGCTGTCAGGTGGGCCCCGGCTCATGATGACCCTTTGACAGCAGAGCCAAACCTTGCCTAACGCTCCCCCTCCTTGCAGCCTTCACCATGCTAAACCCACCGTTGGGATCACTGTGTCAGTTCATTTTGCTGAAGATCCTTCTCTCTTTCTCCAACCCTCTGCTTTCCCCAGCATGATGTCCACTTCTCAGGATGGGCCTCTTCATACACTCAAAGTAGGAAGACAAAGTCTCTCCATCCTTGTCTTTAAGGAAAGCTCTGCTTGCACTTAATCCAAAATAGATTTGTTTGGTCTTTTAGCAGTTCATGGGATATTCTGCCAACATCAGAATTCAGAGGCACCAATTCTTCTTTTGCCTTCTGTATTCATTGTCCAGCTTTGACATACATATAAAGAAATGGAAAATACCATGGCTTGGATCAGGTGCACCCCAATCTTGAACCAACATTCTTTATTTTTAGCACTTAAAAGAGTCCTTGACGACAGACTTACCCAGCTTTTCATTTCTTGCCTGCTGCTGCCATGGGTGTTGATGGTAGATACAAATAAAATTATTGATATCCTCTGTCTTTTCTCTGTCATTATGGTGCCTATTGGTCCAGTGGTTAGGAGTTCTGTTTTCTTGGCTCTGTTGTCAAAGGTACTTGATCTTCTGCAGGAAGAAGGGCTTCAAGTCCTTTTCTCTTTGCAATGATGTCTGCATAATGTGAGTTACTGACCACTCTTCCCCTAAAGCTGATGCTACATTCTTCTTCACATTATCTACTTTCTCCAGTTATTTGCTCAGTATACATATTGAATAGTCATGGAGAAAGGGTGCAGCCCTAACACATACCTGTCCTGATTTTAATCCATGCAGTATCCCCTTGTCCTGTTGGAGTGACTGCCTCTTGGTCTACAGGTTCCAAAGTCTTCTGGAGTTCTCATTCTTCCCAATGTAACACATTTCTTTTGATCCACACACTCAAATGCCTTTGCACAGTCAATAAAATACAATTACACATCTTTCTGGTGTTCTGTCCTTTTAGCCAGGAGCCATGTGTATCAGCAGTACCTCTTGTTCCATGGTGTCTTCTGAACCCACCCGAATTCCTGGCAGTCCTGTCCTCCAGACATTTTTTAATATCTTCAGCAACATTTTACTTACATGTGATATTAAGGATATTGTTTGATAATTTCCATATTCTATTGGTTCACCTTTTTTTTTAAAAAAAAGGGGGGGGCAGACATCTGGGTCTTTTCTGGTTGGCTGGCCATGTAGCTATTTTCCAAATGTCTTGGCATAGCCTAATGAGCACAGCCAAGGGCTGCATCCATTTGCTGAGACATCTTAATTCATATTCTGTCAGTTCTTGGGACCTTACTTTTAGCCTGTGCCTTCAGACTTTAGCCTTTGTCTTCTTACAGCACCATTGTTCTCAATCATGTGATAGAAATGTTTACCGCTGTCTCATTGTTTATTATTATTGTTATTATTATTATTTTGTGTGTGTACCATTAAATCGGACCTGACTGGTACTGGAGGAGATTGTCCCTCCTTCCCCAGCAGAGCGTCTGGTGGATTCAAAGCATGTGCCTCTGGGATTGCAGTGCAGCTTCTCTCCATATTTTTGGCCATTAAGAAATGAAAGTCACCCATGAGCTTATCTGCTCCAAAGCTGGGATCTCGCCTACACCCCCCACCTGCATGTCAGTCTGAACCAGCAAGTCCCAGGACAGAGTGCAGTGGCTGTGGGGTCTCCATGGCTTTGTCTTGACCAAGCACACCACGCGCCTTTCTGTTTGTAGCCGAGTTCTTGGCTGTCCACCACCAGGGGCACCAGGCCCGCACCACTGCTGTCCATGGACTCCCACTCCTAGGGTCCTGCATCAGGTGCTGAAGCCATAAATCCCAATGTGGGAAGTCCTCCCAGCGGGAAACCAGAGACAGGCCTGCAGTTGGGAAGGATGACACCAGAGGGCGCCGTGGCTCCACAGAGGCCCTGGCAAGGAGTGTGTCTCCCAGGAGAGACTGCCTGGGAGTCCCCAGGAGCCCATCGGACCTGGCTGTGAGGTCTCACCAGTTCTGCGTGTCTCTGCTTACCCCAGCGTGTGGGCCACGGGAAGAGCCCACCCTGAGCTCCGAAGGAGCAGAGAAGGCCCTGGCTGGCACAGAGCTGAACTGTGCACGTCTGGCAGGTGTGGGCTCAGGGTGAGTTCTGGCCATCCCAGCATCGCTAAATCATTGAACCTATGTCTTGTGACATTCTCCCCAGCACATGGCACCCCTCAGAACTGACTCCACGCTTAACTGACAAGCCTTAAAGGAAAAATGAAACCCACCTGTTGGATCTTGGCTCTGCCTTCCATCCAAATGCCCGGAGTGTCCTCAGCCCCGGTCCTTGAGGGTGGTGAGAGGAGGGGACCGCTCCTGCCCCCTAGATTCCCCTTGAGCCTCTCCTACGTATCAGGAGGGGTGATGGTGGTTCTTACTGGAATTCTCATCTTTCACCAGTGCAGGAGCCTCTGCAGTCTCGGTTCCCCACCAGTGCACTCCAGGCAAGTCAATGCGGCTGCATGTGGCCGTGAGGCAAGCAGCTTTCAGCAGAGCTTCCAGAGTAAGAGCAGGAAGAAATGACTGGCCATCTGCGTCTGAAATCAGCCAACAAGAGCCGTAGGAATCACAGTGGTCCGATGTGCCACCAATCACAGAGCTGGCACGGCGTCTGGTTGTCATGGTATCACCTGACAGGTGTCAGATCGTTACACACGCAGATGCTAATCATGAGGCTAGAGCTTCAGGCCCACTCAGGGTGCCCTGGAAGAAGGCCTGGCGATCCACGCTGCAAGGCCCACCGCTCAACACCTGTGGACACATCAGCTCAGGCTCGGGCAGCTCCAGTGGCGTTTCTCATTGGTGACAGCAGTGATTCTGTAACGCAGCACCTGAACTCAGGACGTCACTTCTAGAACAAGCTAGCAACTATGACTCTCTTGGGGGGAACCTGCCCTCCGATGGCTCTGCCCCTGACCTCTGGCCAGGCCCTCAGCATGCTTGGCACCCACCACCACATGCACGTCCATCTATCACAGCCACGGGCAGTTCAAGGGGCAACACTCACACACGAGAAGGTGGAGGTGGGCTGTGTGTACATTTGAGACTTGGCGTCTGGTCTCCTCGGTCACTGACCTCCTGGATCTGTGTTCAAAAAGTCGAGTGGTTACTTCTTAGGTTGAGGACCAGGTTTAGCCACTAAACGAGGTACAGTGTCTTTATCCACAGATGACCCTCACTTCCCTGGAGGTTCCGACCCGTTTCGTTATTATCTCAGAGCTGTGGACTGAGTGCTAGATGCTGCAGGTCCTAACTGTGAGGCCCTGCTAGATGGGCCAGAGGTCAGCGTGACTGGTAGAGGCCACCTGGGAATTTATGACTCTAGGACTGTTGTACCAAGAGGACCTCCCATGGGTGTTCCGTGCCTGTGCTGGCCTGGCCCACTGGGGAGGGTAGTATAGACAGGGCGTGTTTGGAGAGGGTGCTGCAGCCGTCAGTGGACCATGTCCTCTCAGGCAACCACTCACCAATGTAATGTCCCTGATGGCCAAGGGTGTAAAGATACCTCTTGGGGGCTCCTGAAAACACCTTGTTGCATTTCTCCAGGCAGCATCACAGATCCCCTTTGCCATGGACCTGAGCAATACTGAGAAAACTCCAGTCAACCCCCTGGGCAGAGGAAGGCCAAGCAAAGAGAAGGCATCACAGGCCAACAAAGCCCTGAGGTGGTCTCCAAGATGCCCCCTTATTCCTGCAGGTCACAGTTTGGGGCAGGGGATCTTGGGGAGCAGGCCTGCTGTAGGGTGGGAGGATCCAGTGGTGGGGTCAGGGGACCCCCCATGGTGGGGTCAGGCCTCTTGTCAGGAGTGGGCATGGCCTGTCTAGGTGAGGCCTTGGTCTCGACATACAGGTATCAGATCAGGTGACAGGACCCAGTTCCAACATGTAGACTGGGTTGACCAGGTGACAAATTTGGTCCTGTTCTGCGGGATAGGGTGACTCCATGGGCAGAAGGGTGGCTTCTGCCTGCAGAGACCTCACAGTGACCAGATGGCCCCGACTGAGCAGTGTGGGCCTCCTGGGAGTGCTGGCATGAGAAAACAGTCAACACCTGCCTCAGCGCACGGCCCTCAGCTCACAGCGTTCACCACACGGCCTTCGCCACGTGGCCCTCAGCACGCAGCCCTCAGCATCCCTGACCCAAGTCCTTAGCCTATTCAGCCCCTGGCAGAGAAGTGGAGGAGGAGGGAGGGCAGGCCCAGTAGCCCGTGTGCGGGGAGGGGACAAACTACCTGCCATCCTAGGGCATCCCTGAGGGATCCAAGGTGGCCAGCACACTTTTGCTGTGAGGTCAGGATTCAGGTCAGCCTCAGTCTGAGGAGAAAGAACGCAACATGTCTGGTCTGCTGGAACAGATACTGAGTGCAGCCCTTGGCCCCAGGCACAGGGCCCCACAGGAGGCCTGCCTGGAGGAAGAGGTCCAGCAGCTCATCCAGCAAACACAGGAGAGAAAAGAAGCACATTGGAGCGGCGGCACCACAGGAGGAGCTGCAGGCAGCCACGCAGGACCTGGAGGTGGTAAGTGTCATTGAGTGGCTGACATCAGGGCACCTGAACCGAGCCTGGGGGTGTCCTGGGAGGTAGGCCAGGTGTCATCACTGGGACCCTGGCCACCAGGCTGGCCATTCACGTGGCTCAAAGGTCTCCACTCATACACACAGTGCCTCGTGGAAATGTGTTTCCACAGACGGTTAGCAAGTGGCTCTGGACAATGAAGAGCCCGTCTACAGGCCCCACACTCATGAGGCACAGGTGGGGGGGTCTGACTCCTCTCAAATGGGGTGTAGAGGACCTGTTCCCAAAAGAGATATTATTAGGGGTGATCCAGAAGAGCTTTTCAATGGGGAGAGCCCATCCCAGATCCCAGGACTCGGATACCTTGGGGGGGGGGTGGCAGGGGGAGCAGGGGTCCTGGACCACATGGATCAGGAAGGACAGAAGTGGACTTTCTCAACTTAGAGTGGGGTAACAGAAACCAGGACAACACTTCAGAAGATGGAAACTACTCAGGCTTGTGGCGGAGAGCCTGTAGGACAAGCCCTGGGAGGCTCATCAGGCCTGTGGGGTACACCGAGGCAGCTCTGGGAGGCTCAGAAGGGTGAGAGGGTTTTCCAGGGTTAGGAAGGAGACCTTGTGAGGACCTGGGTGGTGGGTTGAGGGGGTATATCGGGGCTTGTGAGTGAGACAAAAGGAGGCTTTCCCAAGGGCCTGTCTGCGGTTCCCTCTGATTCAGCGACTCTCACAGCAGATCTGAGACTTGCCCCCTCAGTGCTCCACAGTCCCCACCTGCCTGAGCACACTGCCACACTGACTGTCCCAGCCGAGCCTGTGAGCTATGCTTTCCCACTGCTACGCACTCTTCCAAGGACAGGCCCTGACCGCCATTGGTGAGATGCAGTGTCACCATCCCAGCCTCTAAGGGGCACTCTGGTAGCATGTCCTCCCAGGCAGGCATTTGTTCTGACATCCGTGGCAAATTCAGTCATCTCTCCAGCACTATGATCTGCAGACACCAATTCCTCTGCTATCTTGTAGCCAGATGTGGTTGCCAAGAAAATGTCTCCAGCTTATTCTTAAATTTAGAATTTAGGTACTTTGTCCTGTTAGCAAGAATAGAAATACAGGAGTCTGTATCTTTCTATGCAAAGAAAGGAGGTTCATGAGAGGAATTACAAAGAAGACACAGAGGGGCAAAGCACAGGTCAGAGGAGGACATCATGTTTATTTGTGGAGAAGATGAGGAAGTATTGCTCTGGGAAAGTCCAATGTCAAGGACCTCTCCAGATTACTGAGGAGCAGCAGTGTCAGCTTGAAGGCTCGGGTGCACCTGATTCAGGCCACAGTCTTTTCAGTAATGTGCTATGCATCTGAGAGCTGGACAATGAATAAGGATATCAAAGGAATTGATGCCTTTGGGCTGATGTGTTGGAGAAGAGGACTGAACATGCCCTGGATTGCTGCTAAGAACAGGCGTATCCTGGAGAAGGTACAGCCAGAGGGCTCTGTGGAGGTGAGGACAGTGGAGCTTCACCTCATCCTCTGCGTGTGTTTGCTGAGAGGTTGTTCCTTGGACAGGAACAGCATGCTAGGAAAGGTGGAGGGTCAGTGAAAGAGGGGAAGCCCTTCCAGGGACTGACACAGTGACTACAGCAATAGACTCAAGTGTGTTAGAGATGAGGACGGTACAGGCAGGACAAGGCTCAGGGTCACCACGGGTCTACTCAACAGCACCGAACCACAACTGAAAGGGCACGGCTGTTTATTCATGAAAGTAGGAGTGGTCATGTGGGGCTGGCTCGTGGGAGAAATTCGAATAACTGAGCACATGTACAGTTTCAAGATGGTTGGGGGGGGTGGGGGTCTGGTGGGCGGATGTGCACGTGGTTGAGATGAGTGGGTCTTGCAGGGAGGACGCCCAGATGGCCAGGATGGAGATGGTGGAGAGGATGCCCAGATGGCTGGGCTGGGGTGTCTGGTGGGGGGAGGACATGGAGATGGCCGAGGTGGGGGTGTCTGGTGGGAGGAGAGGAATCTTATTTTGCTGAGTCAGCACATTTTCCATGTTCTGCTTAATGACATGTTCTTCATGTTGCCAAACAGTTCCCACTTGCCATTTCCACAATTTCCCATTACTCTGAACTCAGCATTCCTTAAGCAGTACAGATAGAGGGAGCCTTGTGGGGGCAGCTAGGTTGGCTGCAGATGGTCAGGTTGGCACAAGTATGTAGGACTGAGCACATGCATGCATTTAAAGATGCCAGCTTCGGGAGGCCACATGGTCCTAGAACACAGGGCTTCAGCATGGCTTCCTGTAGCGGATGCAGGGTCACGTGGTGGCACCTGAGGGCTCTCAGCAGAGTTAAAGGCTTTGTGACCCCAGGGTTGGTGCTCTGTAAGCCCGGCAGGAGGGGCTGGTGGGAGGGACTGGAGGAGGGCACCTTGGTGAGGAAGCAGAGTGAACAGCAGCCCTTCCTCCCTGGAGACAGGGTAATGGAGGCAGCTGGGTGTTACTGTGGAGGTGAGGTGTTAGGCTTCCTCCTTTTGACATGCCTTGGGGCTGGAGTTGGCCAATGAGAGGATGTCAAGAGTTCAAGGTCTGGTAGGCAGTTCTTACCCCAGCCCACTGCCTTTGACATCACACATACACCTAAAATAGGCATTTAATGATGTTGTTTCCAGCCTTTTCCAGGCATGTCAGTCTCTGTTCTGGTCCTGATGGCTCATGTTTTATCAGGCATCAACTTCTGCCCCCTCATCTCATCGTTCTTGCCCTAACACTGGGAGGTGCCTGTTGTTGTTAGGTGTCATCAAGTCAAGGACAGCTCCTAACGACCGTGTGAACACAGATCTGTACCATCCTGTCCTGTGACATCCTCACCAACCCTGACACACTTGAGCCCAGTGCTGCAGGCACCATGCCAATCCATCCTCTTCTGCTCACCTTTTATCTTTCCAAACATGAGGGCCCTCTCTAAAGAATTGTTATGTGCCATCAAATAGACTGCCACTCATAGGAACCCTGTGAACAACAGCTCTGAATCCTGCCCTATCCTGAGTCAGTCTAACCATCTCTGACACACCTGCTCCCATCGCCACAGTCAGTCATTCCATATCCTCCAGGGTCTTCTCCAAGGAATAGCCTCTCCCAACATGCCCAGTCAATGAAAAATAACATAAAACTATTTGAATTGGGAGACTCTGCTGTCAGGGACCTTGTCAGAGAGCAATGATGTCATTCTAGAGACTAAGGGGCACCTGATCCAGGCCATGGACTTCTCAATTGCTTTCTATGCATCTGAGGGCTGGACAATGACTAAGGATAATAGAAGATTCAATGTCTTTGAGTTGTGGTGCAGTAGAAGAGTACCGTGGACTGCTAAGAGAACAAACAGGTCTGTCCTAGAGAGGGTGAAACCAGGCTCCTCCTTGAAGTGAAGGATTTTGAAGTTCTGTCACACATATTTTGAGTATGTTGTCAGAAGGGACCAGTACTAGGAGAGGGACATGTTGGAAAGGTGGAGGGACAGCACAGAAGACGACGACCCAGGATGAGATGGGTTGTTGCTCGGACGTTACGAGTTGTAGCAGAGTTGGCAGCACTTAACAGCAGCATTCCTAAAGTACGTGAGATGAAGCTTTGCTATTCTTGCACACAAGGAGTCTTTCCAAGGTGACTAGAAAGACTATGGCTTGAATCAGGCAAACCTTAGTCTTCAAACTGACATCACTACTCTTTACGACTTTGGAGAGGCCCCTGATACCAGACTTTCCTAATTCTGTATGTCTCTGGATCTGACTGCTCGTACCAAGGGTGTTGACTGTAGATCCAATAATGTGAAGTTGTCAGTTTCCATCCTCATGTGTCCACTGGTGAGGATTTGTCCTTGATGTTGAGATGCAATCCATATTGAAGGCTGCAGTCCTTGATCCTGTGCAGCAGGCACCTCAGGGTACCAAGGCTGCTCGCTGAAGGAGGTTGGCGGTCTTAGAATGCTGGCCTTAGCTGAATACCAGTTTTCCCGAGCTGAACCATCTCAAGGAAAAATTCTTCCCTTCATCACATCATGTAAAGATGGCAAGGAGACAGGAAATAATGAAGTCTGTGATTCAACGTGAACCTGGCACTTACCTGGTTAAGGTTTAAACGTGAACATTTTCATTCCTTGAAAATCCCATCTTTGATAGAAGGTCTGACGTTCCCACCTTGTTAATAAAGGGTGAGACTAGATGACTGAGGGATGCAAACTGCAAAGTTAAAGGGTTTAAACTTGTCAAAGGAGGCTTTTCTCAAAACTCTCCCTCTGGACTAAAAGGACACTTTGAAAAGTTTTAGTTAAAATCACAATAATTTTTTTTAAAGTTTTAATTGCTTCCTTGTTTGTCACCATTTTATTCATAGCCTTTTAGATGCACAGAAAGCAACTGAGAAGATCCTGGCTTGAGTCAGGTGCACCTTAGTCTTTACACTGACATTCTTTCTCTTTAGCACTTTGGAGAGGTCCTCGACAATATATTTCCACAGTGCAACATGTCTTTTGACTTCTTGCCTGCCACTACCATGTTCAGTTGTGGATCCAACTGAAATGATATCGTTGACAACTTGAGACTTTTCTCTAGCTCTTACGATGTTGCCTATTGGTAAGGTGGTGAGGATGTTTGTTTTCTTGATGTTGAGCTGTAACCCAGATTGAAGGCTGCAGCAAATGTTTCAAGTTGTCTTTACTTCCAGCAAGATTGTATCATCCCCGTTATATAGAGCCCTCCAATCCTCATGCCATTCTTCATACAGGCCAGCTTCTCACATTGTCTGCTCAGCATCCAGACTGAATAGGTGTGGAGAAAGGATACAAACCTGATGCACACATTTCCTGATTTTAAAGCATAGTGTTTCCTCGTTCTGTTTTGACAAGTGCCTCTAGGTCTATGTTTAAGTTTCATGTGAGCACAGTTCAGTGTTGTAGGATTTCACTGTTTCCAGTGTTAGCCACAGTTGGTTATGGTCCACCCAGTCAAAGGAGTGTATCTTCCCGAGATTCCCTGCTTCCAGCCAAGACCCATCGGCCTCAGGAATGACACCTTGTGCCAGTGTGTCTTTGGAATCCGGAGTGACTGTCTAGAAGTCCCCTGTAACCGTTTCCACTGTTTTTTAAGAGACTTCAGCAAGATCTTACTTGCATGTGATATTACCTGTGAGGTAGACTGCAGCAGGCAGTTGTTGGGGGCCTTGAACTAAGGTGCTCTCACAGGGCCTGTGGGGTAGATTTCCAACATTTTGCTTCTCATGCACCTTTTCCTGCAAGCATTGTAGGAAGAGAGGTAGAGGGTCCCACCCCATGGTCTGTGAGTAGACACCACGTGGGCTCCCAGGGGACTGAGCTGTCCAGGATTCATGAGGCAGAGATGTAAGGGGCTTGTAGTCTGAAGGGTTTAATGACTGAAAAGAATGATCTAAGGAGACAGCGGTTAGGGCCACTGGAGCACATGTTTCTACAGGAAATAGGACAGTCCCTGCGTGTTTACTGGGTCAGTGGTACTTGTATCGAGGTATTCGTGTCAAGCTAAGACACTGGGACATCTGGGCACTGAGAGGGAGTCCTGAATAGCTGGGTTGGAGGTGAGGCCCAGGCAATACACCTGTGAGGGGATGTGAGAATGGAGGGACCTGCACCTACTTGCTGGCTGTCTTTGCAGGGTGGCAGGGCTCTCCCCCACCCAGGCGGTAATGTCACAAGCCACGGGGCTTGTCCTGAGGCTCCAGGCTCTCTCCTGGCAGAGGCTCTGCCACCATGCACGCAGTATCTGGTGAGTCAAGCTGTGCCACCAGAGGTCTTTATGTTCTTTCCAACTGGCTGTGTTCTCACTGGGGTCAGGCAGGCCCTGGGCTGCTGAAGAGGCTACCAGACTGGCTCCAGCACTGTGGGTGTGACGGCACAACGACAGACCCCATGAAGGGCCCAGTGTTGTATGCACCCAGCCCAGGGTTGCCCGGCACACAGCGCCCACATGCAGGTCCTGCAGGTCTTCATGATCCGTGCCCCCTCTCCCCAAAGGCAGATAATCTCCAGGATGAAGTCAGGAGACTGAAACTGGCCTTGAAGAGGGACGAGCAGTTTGCAGTCTTCACTGGAAACCTTTCACTTCACTCACAGCCTCAGAATATATTTTTTAACATGAAATAGTAATCTGAAAATGTTCACAGATCCTACTGATGAAGGCTCAGCAGTTCTGAGGGACCTTCCACCTTCTATGTCAGGGTCGCCTCTGCATGTGCTCTACCGGGGAGGGTCTGGGCTTCGTGTCCTTCTCCGCATGATTTCATGCAGCCCACTGTTTTAATAAATTCACTGCTGTTTTTCTGAGGTTGTGCTGAGCTTACGCGGCATTGAAAGGAAGAGAATACTGTGCACTCTCCTTTCCATCTATCCCACAGCCAGCCCGCGTAACACCTTGCCGCCCTGGTCACTGCTGAGTACTTTGCAGCCAGAAAACACCAGTTCAAGCACCAGCTGGTGGCATCAGGGGTTCCCCTTGGCCAAGCCCAAGGCCAGGGAAGCCTAGCCCAGGGAGAGTTCTGCCTGAGGTCAGCTCCAAAGCCGCCCCAACCTGTGGTGGTAGGCACTTCCTCCCAGGATATTGATAGGGGCTTGACCCCCAAATACAGACCAGGACTCAGGGAGACCCTGCAAAGGACCCAGGAAAGGCCTCACCCCACTTAGGAGAAGGGTGGACATGAGAGCCAGGGAGGTGGCTTTGGGAGTGGTGCTGGGCACCAGGCCCACCATACCCAGCAGTCACCTGCATTTTCACCAGGCACAGGGACACTCCCACAGTCTTGTAGAAACAGAGCTGGTGGGACTGAGCTGGGCCCTGCTGTCTCTTGTTCTTTCCCCTTCGGCTTTGTCCAGAGGCCGAGTAGTGCAGGAATTAAGCACTTGGAAGCACACCATTACACCTGGAAGCCCTACAGTCGGCTCCGTCTTAGGGTCCCACTCAGAAGTGATAGCAGTGGCAGAAGTAACTACTGGTCAGCTGGGTGTCCAAGCTCATAAAGAGACCACACACCTCGGGTAGGGTATTTGGGGCCCTCCCACCGACTGCAGGACAATCAGGAATGTGGGTGCTCCCTGCCTCTGCCTCCAAGTTGAGTCCCTGAAAGCAAAGTCACCCTTTTCCAAACGTTTCCAAGTGCTGGCACCTGGAGCCTGGGGGCTGCCTGTATGCCTGTGTGACACACCAGTTTTCTCAGCCTTCCCTCTCCTGTCCCCATCCAACTGATGGGCCTTCCAAACCTTGCACCCCTGTGGGAATGCCTCCCCCCTGACCGCCCCTGCCTCCTAAGAGGTCCTTACCTGGCTCTGTCCTCACACACATCCATGGGGAAGGGGTGTTTCTGTTCCAGAATCCATCTCAACCAGCTCTTCTGGCTGCAAGGGCCAGCGGGGGTTCAGACGTCAGTGCTTTTTTGGTGAACCTATTACTGAGGCATCTGGAGGGGACCAGAGTAGTGGGGACACCAAGGGCTGGCGCTGCTGCACGGTGCTGTATGACCGCAATTAGCACCCCTCTCTGCTCATTGGCACCCCAATAGAATCGGACCAGTGAGGCCCTCTGGGATGTCCCTGTGTTGTGCTTGTGGTGCAGCAGTGGCCACCGCATAGGTCTGAGCCCCGCAGGGCGGGCAGCGTGCGGATGGGCAGCATGCGGGTCGTCAGGATAACTGGCCTGGTCAGCCACAGCCAGCTGGGCTTCAAGAACCAAGCCGGCCCAGGGTCACGGTCATGGACACAAGCAGTCCGCAGTCCGGCCAGTCTCAGTCTTCGGGCGCTGACTGATCCGACCTAGGCTGCGCTCCTACTGTCAGCTCTGCAGGCTCAGTGATAACCGGCCACACGCACGCACGCAACTCGATGTTTCCTTAGCAACCTAACTCGTGGTCACCCTCCCCAGCCCCGGCACTGGCCACCCCCTTACACACGGGGATCCTGAACCGGGCGCTGCTCTCTGTCGCCCAGGTCACCTGTGCGATGGTGGGGCTGCTGCTCCACGCGCCCTCGGCTCCTCCGCCAGCTGGACCGGCATCCTGTGCGTACCCGGACTTCCTCCCCGCAGCGCACGGCCGCCAGCTCGAACAGGCTCTGCAGAAAGTGCAGGAGAGGAGGCGCCAGGGGCCAGCGCCGCGGGGGGATGGGGGGGTGGAGGAGGAGGAGGCGCCCCGGGGTGGGGGAAGAAGTAGGGGAGGCACCCGGGGTCGGGGGAGGAGGCGCCCCGGCCAAGCTCAGGGCTGCCCCTGGGCTCGGGGCTCCCAGGAGGGGTCGGCCTCCCCGCCCCGTGCGGGCGGCCCGCGC